GTTGTGCCCAAGTGTCCTTCAAAGAAAAAAAAAAGAAAGAATTTTACACAATTGAGGTGCTCACGTGAGCTTCTCCGTTTCCAAGTAAAATATTTGACAAAAATAATGCATCATATATAGCAGTTAAAGATTAGCCCATAGATTTGGAGCTTTGATTGGTACATATAAACTAGTATTATGATTATGTGAGTCTCGAATTTGTTTTAATATATATATATATATACACATTTATTATGTATATATATACACATATATTTAGATTAATTTTTAAGGTTACTTTTTCAGGTGCTCATTAAGTATTAAAAAATTAATAATGCGGCGTGAAAAATCTAATCTCATTAATTTGTATATTGATCATTGACTGACTCCTTAATTTTATTATGCAAAAATATAGATTAAATAATATATATAAAAGGTAGGTACCACTACCAGCTAACTTAGCCGGTAATTCCATTTTGTAAAATGTTAATTTGACAATAAATTATAAGTATCCATAGAACATTCCAACTAGTTTACACTCCTCTAAAGATTATCACATTGCCTCTCACTCAAATCTTATCTGATCTTATCTTATTAATAGAAAAGAAGATACAAAGTTTAGAAAATAGAAAAAAAGAGAGAATTTAAGTGATGTTTGGTATATGAGTTATACTACAGTATAAATTTATAGTTTTAATTTTACTACATTATTTTTCTCTTATAAAAAATCATAATTATAATAAAAAATTTTGATTTAAACTTATATACCAAACATGCCATAAGTATGAATTTGCACTTTAAAAGACCACTTTATATGACACATGAACAACGTCATAGATATAGCCCAACGGGGCACAAACAGTTGATTTTTTGGGGAACTTAACATTAAGAAGACGTTTAGTTCATGGATTAGAATCATGTAATTATAATCATTTTCGATTTACATGTATTTTTTGTGAGAGAAAATAATGTAACGAACTATGAACCATGATTCAAATCATAGTTTGAATCCTCCAACTAAACATCCCCAAGCAAACCAACAATGTCTCAATTAACTGGAACAACGCAAAAGGCAACCGGAGAAAAACTACACATAGGACCACTGCTATGAAACACGTGATTTGTTTTGTTGAAAATTAACAAAGTTTGAACTTGTAAATGTTTTGAGAGGTCGATAATTATTTGGTAACAATTAAAAATTTGCAATATGCATGTTAGTTATTAAAGAGTTTAAGGACCATAAGTGTAAATTACTCTTGTTATTATTATTGTTACTATTTTTAGGATAAGCTTTAAGACAAATATATATAAGGATTTTAGCACAAATGAAATTTTTTTTAAGGATTTCTTTTCATAAATGGTTAAAGTTTTATAAAACTACAAAAGTGACCATTTTCATTAACTTATTGGTCAATCACTGATTAATTTAACAGTTAATCACTGATTGACATAGCGGTATATCATTTATTGACTTTTAAATTATCACTGATTAACTCGGTAATTCTTTATTATTAATCAATATCAGTTAATAATTAGTCAAAATTAATTAATTTTAATTAACCAATTATATGTTTATTAATGATAAACGGTTAGTAAATTATGAGTCAATCACTAGTTGACTCCTAAAGAAAACCATTTTCATAAAATAAAAAAAAGCTCGGACATTTTCATAAAATAAAAAAGGTTGGTTATTTATGAAAAATGTGGTAGAAAAAGGTTATTTGGCTAATTTTTCCATATATATATTTTTGTAACGGGGCGAGAAGGAGGGGGCAGTAATGCTTTCCCCATTTTATACTCTACTCTCGTTTTGTTCTCCATTTTATATTCTACTCTCATTTTATTCTCTATAGCTGCCTAATTTAAGATGGGGATGGAGGAATCTTCACAGTAGTCCATCCTCATATTCTATCCATATACCCATTATAAACTTTAAGGAAAATTCAATTAAATTAATGAGAAATTCAACAATATAACTATTACTACCTCATAAAAATGAATTGAACTCTTAATCTCAAATTTAAGCTCCAAGAATAACAACCGAGTCTCAAAATTAAATTCAAACTCAAGCATAAATAAGAGTATATATAATTAGGGGAATCAACTCCTGTTTTATTTGTATATCAATTAAAATTTCATATCACGTCAATTAAAAAAATATTATACTACGTTAATTAAAAATTTCATATCACGTCAATTAAAAAATCATAATAATTAACTGACATGTCAAGATCTTAATACGGATAAAAAAAAAAGACATAAAATGGAACATATGAGCTTAATCCATAATTGGAGCGGGATATCCCCGCCCCATCTCAAAATTGGGAGCTAATTTTTACTCTCATAATTGCCACCACCTGATATAGGCTTAGTTTGGTATTGTTTTTCCTTCCCAAAATCAGCTTCTACTTGTAGCATAAGCTGATTTTGTGTTTGGTAAATCTCCTCGTTTTTTGAAGAATTTTTTAAGAATCTACAGCCAAAATCAGAAGCAGCCCAAAGACAACTTTAGCTTTTAGATTGTGTGAGAATCAACAAAGTACAATTAATGAAACTTTCATAATACCCACAATACCTATAAAGAAATTTAAAATTTACAATATTCCTAATCTAAAATTCAGACTCGTAATATAATAAAATATAATATAATAGTAATATTATAACAAATAATATCATAATTATATTAATAACTCTAATAATATTATTTTATCATATAATATGATATTATAATATTATTATAATTATTTTAATAATATGATATTATAATTTTAATATAATTATTTATTAATAATAATATAATAATTAATATAATTAAATATTAATATAATCTTATAATTCTAATATTATTATATATTATAATGTATTACACACGTTATGGTATATAATATTTCTTATGTGATATTATAATATGTTTTATAATATTATAATTATATTAACTATTTTAATAATATTATTATATTATATACCATAGTTATATAATATGTTATTTAATAATAAGTTTATTGTATTATATTAAATATAATAATAAATATACATTATATTGTAATTATATATATTATATTACAGTATAATATAATATAATAATAATTTTTTTATTATATTAAATATAATAATAGATATATATTATATTATAATTATATATATTATATTATAGAATAATATAATAGAGTCGTAATTTTTAACTATTTACAGTAATTTAACTTTATAATTTATCAAATACTATTATACTAATTTTAAAATTAACATAATTACTGTAATTATAATTTATTAAACACTTAATTACTTTTTATAATAACTATTTCTTCTTTTAATACAATTAAAAATAATTTTTGTTTTAATTTACAGTAGTATCAAACTAAACCATAATATCCCGTTGCGCGCCCTATGTTAGACTGATAAGCGTACCGTGGTTAAAAATGTTATCCTGAATGCTATTGAAATTTGAAGGCCTCGTGTTGATGAACCATTGGTGAGAAAGCCATGGATAGCATGGTCGAAACAGACAAAATACCCAGAACCTCTTATTAGCCACTCAATAATAATGTATTAACGTTATTATCTCCATAAATCCTTTGTACGTCATTTTTACCCTTTCTGGTTGGACGGATTTTCCTCCAAACTCGTCAGGTAGGAAAATAGAAAGAAAGAAGAAATAAGGGGGTCGTTTCTCGATAAAATTTGGAGTTTTGGATTGGTCTAATTTGTCGTTTGAGTTGAGACAAATTTATCTATTTATTTGGGTTTCAAAAATGAAAAACAATAAATAGTAATACCCTCCACAAAAATCCCATTTCAATCGTGGCCTCTCGTTAAAGTCGCATATAAAAAACTCAACTTTTTCTCTCATTTGGCCACCAACTGTTTGTGAATTTGCCTGGTAGAAAGACAGAGAAAGGATAGAGAAGGATTGAGAGGTCTGTGGGTGGAGGAGGAGGATTTGTCCGGTTTTGTGATGAAGAATGTGTTGGACTTGAGGTGAAGGAGGGACCCACACTTCACGTTCATCATCTTCTTCATCATAATTCATCAATCTCTCCTTTTTATTTTTTTTTCCATCTTCTGTGAAAAAAAAAAAATCACCATCCCAATACCTTAAAATCCTCATCCTCATTTTGTCTTGTCTTTTCAGGTCATTCATTCCCTTGGTTTTATATATACACATCTGGGTTCACCTAACTTTTGCTTGAATCCAAACTGTACGGATCTGTTTTGCCCACCTTATTATTTCCAAAAAAAAAAAAAAAAAGTTTTGTTTCAAAACAAACTCAAAAGAGATTTTGAAGAAGATATGGGTCTTTGTATCTAGACTTATCTTCAAAATCTCGTTTTTTATTGGGAACTCACCGTGTCAGAGACCCATATCAGATCTAAGTGCCCCACATCCCTCCATTAGCTTCCTTGTTCATTCATTCATTCATCCAATTGAGACCCATTTACTATTGTTCTTTTCTTTTTCTTTTTCTCTTTCTTTTTAAAGTTTTTTTCCTTCTCTGATCATCCTCTCATTGAATGACAGCTGTTTAAGGTGTCTGTACGATTGGGTTCCTTCTTAAAGGAAGGCATACCGTAAAGAGGAGAAAAAAAGGTGTTTAAGTTCCTTCAAGTTCTAGATTGGCTAAGGTGGCTGCCCACCAAAATTGTCTACAAATTTACCGTTTCCTTCTTTTCTGAATTTTAGAGTTGGTAAAAAAAAAAAAAAGAGATCGGTCCACCTTTGGGTTTTGTGGGCTTCCTTTAAGAAAAATAAAAAATAAAAATTTAAAAGAACCAATTGAAATTCAAAGTGGAGTTGTGTTTTGTTCAAGATCCCACATTTTGCCTTTCATCTTTTCTCATTTTATATTTAAAGAGGTGGGGTGGGGTGACTTGTGATGTGAGAAAAAGAAAGAAAGAAGGAAAGAAAATTCAACTTCAAGCTTTCCCTCTTTTGTTTTACCATTGCTTTTCCAACAACTGGATTTTGATCATTTATGCCAAACTTGTTGAATTTGACCAACCTCAGGAGAGTAAAAAAATTTTTTTTGGTTTCCCCCTCTTTCCCTTCCTTCTCTCATGCTACTCTACTTGTTTATAACTTGTGTCCCCTTCTTCCTCTTTTTAAAGTCCCTCATCTCTCTCAACAAACCACTCCCACCATGGGCAACTGATATGAGATTGTTGTCATCTCCCTGGTTGTTCTTCAAAGGTCTCTCCTTTTTAGCCAAATCCCACCTCACAAAAAGACCAAACAATAACAACAACAATAACATTTGTTCATCATCAACTCTTCCTTTTTCTCCAATCCCCTCAAGGATGTCTCTCAAACGAAAAGCTCTAACTTCCAAGGTTGAGAATGTGGAAGATAATACGGAAGAGAAGACCTCGGTTTTGGACTTGCCTGAATTGGCCTTGGACTGCATTCTTGAGAGGCTCCCACCGGATGCTTTGTGCAGCATGGCTGGTGTTTGCACTTCTCTGAGGGAGAGGTGTATGAGTGACCGGCTTTGGGAAAAGCACATGAACCAAAAATGGGGTAACATCATTGGCCAAGCTGCTTACAGAGAGTGGCAATGGCAGATTGCTTCCAAAGCTGATTTGGGCAATCTCAAACAAGGAAAGCAAAAGGGGTTGATGAGAATTCTCTCTCTTAATTGGCCTTTTTCTTGGATTAGATCAAAGGTTGATGATTACAACAATAGTAGTAGTACTAAGCCGAGGAGTCCTTTGCCTGTTGATTCAATCATGGCTTGGTACCTTGCTCTTGAAACTGGCAAGTTCTGTTTCCCAGCTCAGGTCTATAACCGAGAGGTATATTATATATTAACTGTTAAATCATTTATTGTTCATGTTAAGTTCTCTAGTTATAGGCTAGTTTCTTTCGGTTTTGTATTCAGTCAGGATTTTTTCAGTGCTTTTTTTTTTTCTTCCTTTTAAGTTGGTTTTGATCTTGTTTTTACATCTTTTGCAGAATGGGCATGTTGGTTTTATGTTGTCATGCTATGATGCACAGATTAGCTACGATCCTAGAACTGACACCTTCCAAGCCAGGTAATTTGCAAGCCTGTTTTTTCCTAATTCTTTGGATAAACTTTTTTCAGATGATTTTTTATTCTTAAAATGTCATTAAGATTACTTTTGGTTGCCAATTGAGGCTTGCTCAATTAGTGTTTAATGGGTGTGTGAGTTGCTTTCACTATATTGAGTCCTGGGTTTGAGGGGATAGTAAAATTTTCTAAATATTACTTTTGGTGGTTTCTTTATTTCTTTGCTTTTCATGATTAGTGTGTTTTAAATACATCTTGGGTGTTTTGCTTAACTTTTAGGTTCTTTTGTTCATTGCAGATATCCACCACATGGAAGAAGGGCAGTTGCTATAGAGAGTGGAGTGCCATGGGAAAGGCTCAGAGCACCACCTGTTGATACTCCTCCTCATGATCTTCATATCTCCGATTGCTTGCATGAATTACGCCCCGGAGATCACATCGAGATTCAATGGAGAAGGAACAAAGAGTTCCCTTACGGTTGGTGTTTCGTAGCAGAACTTCTTTTTTTCTTTAGCTCTTTAAGTTTGTAAAAGATTCGGTATTTCAAAACTTATCTAGATTAGTACCATTTCTTATTCTCTTTCTTTCATGATTTGGCTTTGTTGGGTGGTAAAAGCAAAACAAAACAAGATAAAAGAAAACGATTGGATAGAGTGTCAAGAAAGATGATTCTACACGTCACATGTATGGTTCTTGGAAAGAAAGAATAGTTCAACCTAATTTCTATTAAAAGACTCCTGTGCAGATTTGGTTATTGCATTATTGACTTTTAAAGATATGGTGGCGATACCCAATAATCATTGTCAAGAGAAAATCATGCATCAAAATATTCGTCAGTATGAGTGTAAAATATTTGACATCTAAATTATGTACGAGTGATTGTTGATTTAGAGTTGATTAAACTTGATCAACTGACACATCTTGACTATGTTAATGTACCTAAGAATATATATGTTTCAATAAATCAAATTACAGTGGTTGATTTAATAACATGATGTGCTACACATGTTGCAGGTTGGTGGTATGGAGTTGTTGGTCACTTGGAATCATGTGATAGGAATGAAAATTACTGCCGTTGTCATGATAGTGGTGAGTTTATTTTCTCTCTTTTTCTGTTCTTTTTTTCTTTTTATTTTCTTTTAGCGTCGAGATTTGAATGATTCACTACTAATGAAGTTTTGGCAATAATAATAATAATAATAATAATAATAATAATAAATATTTGGGAATCTAACGGCGTAATATAGATGAAAAAAAAATTGTGAGATTCCATAGCCTTTTTAATTTCCTTCCTTATTCTCCACCATTAGACAGGTGTTTTTAAGATGGCAATTTCTGTTTCTCTTCTGTGTATTTGTTCCATCACCCACTTACAATGTGAAGACAGGGAGGCGGCCCAAATCTGTACTGTTCCAGATTTTTTAATTGAGTGTTTTTAAATGATCAGAGTCACGTCAATTCTAGAGTCTACATATTCATAGTTTTAACACAACATAGTTGGAAACCTGTAATGATCATTAGCATTGTGATATTTAGCTCTTTTTTTTTCTTTTTTCTTTTTTTTTTTCTGTTTTCTTTTTAAGAAAAATTTCATGTTTATTGAAAGACGCCATGAGGGCCTCTCAAAATGTGGATGACGTGAATGTAAAGTTTTATAGCAGACTCAATTTTTTGGCCTGGTTCCTTTCTTGACACCCCATTTTTCAATTGGGGGACCACTTTTTTGTGCCATTTCATTGGACCCCTAGACATATCATTGTCAGTATGTCGCATTTTCAACCAACATTGTGATAAGTTCGGTCTCAGCAGAATATTTATGGCCAACCACACTGAAAGAACTTGGTGTTTCCTTTTTTTTTTTTTTTTTTTTCTTTTTGAGAAAATGGAATCTTCATGCTATGTGGGGCTGAAGTGGTTTTCGTCATAAGCTTCTAAATAGCTGATGTTTCATCATATTTCTATCTTCTTAGCAAACCAAGTACAGCTTAGGTGTTTCTGACTAATTGGTTTGCCAAAAGAAGCAACAGAGGTTGAAGTTGAACAAGCAACACCTAAAAAGCTATCTTGCTGGAAAAATTTCATTTCCCTTGATAATTTGCCAACTTTTTTTGGTATTCAGTGGATGAACAATATATTTTTTCTGAAAAAGAAAAAAAAAAGACTTTAATGGCTTGAATTACATGCAAATTTTCTCAAATTCACGTAAACCTTTTATGCGTTTGTGGATAGACAAAATTGACAGTAGTTACATATACTACTTTGTTTCTATCCAAAAAGATTTTGTTTAAATATGGTGGATTTCCACCAGTTCCTTTTTCATCTTCCTTTTCATGGCAACCAATTTTTGCCATTTTTGTCAACGTGTCTGGATGGGAATGGAAATGTTGGTTTGGTTGTGCTAAACCTGGCTACATGGAAAACACTATCTATGGATCCATTTTTAGTGGTCATAATATCTCATCTCTTTTCCACTTCCCCCCCCCTATTTACCTCTTTTTTAGTGATTTGTGGTGATACATAAATCAATTTCTTAATGATTGCATTCTAAAAGATAATTATTAGGTTTTGTCCCCTAAAAGAAAAGAAGCAAAATTAGGCAAGTTAAACTTCAAAGAGCAAACGGAAAATACTGCTAAAACTTGAATGGGAAGTTCTGTTTATCATAATTATTATTAACGACTTTGATGGCTCACATTTATATATTTTCTGTCATCCTATTTAGTTGTCAAATTTTCAATGCATATAAAAGTTTCTCATGTCGAACAACTTGTTGCAGACACTTTGGTGCTGGAATTCAATCAGTACACGCCTGGTTCACGGTGGAGACACACAACAGTCAATAGGAAAGACCATAGAGAGGAAGGAAACGAAGTGGACGGGTTTTATGGAGGAATCAGGAAGCTGAACACGGAGGAAGAGATTTTGACATGGAGGCAGCTTTGGCCAACCGAAACCTTGGAGTAGGATTTGGCATTAGGAGTTGGGAGAAGAAGAGAATTACTATGCTTCCCACGCCCCGAGCATACGCGAGCCTGATGTTTCTTCTGATGAAAGCAAGTTCTTCTAGTCCTGCTTGATGCAAGTCAGAAGAATTCAGAAGTTTAAACACAGACTTCTGACCCCCAATCGCACGAATGCAGAGGCCTCACTTTTTCTTCTCTTTCTTCGTTTTTCATGGGAGATTTCTCGGCTATTTCATGCAATTCAGATCCATGTAAATTGCCCCATATTGGTGCAAAATTGATGATTTGATGTATCATATTTTACACCCGACTATAAATATGAAGTTGTAGTTCATATTCAGAATATTACATGGAACACTAGCAGCCATTTCTACCGTATGGCCTGTAAGATAAAATTTCTATGCTGTATTTTATAGAAACTGTATGAGAATATATACTATAAAGCAGTGCAAAAGTGACCAATTTCAGTTATAAAATTCAGACATGTCTTAATGTTTACTGTTAATTAATGTCTTGACATTGACAAACAAGTATTTTTTTTCTCTACTGAAAATTACATGGAGGAAGAAGTTGCCATTGAGGAACTATCAATCCTCTTATGTAGTAACGTAGGATCAATTAGGGAGCACCAGTTGAGAAAGTGTTTGTAAGTTTGTTTGGACCTGTGTTTGTCAATTGTCATTTCCAACATCTACTTTCAATACAAAGGGAATGAAGAAGAGTCCATAGAAGAAGGAAAAGAAGAAAAAGAAGGAAAAGAGAGAAGATTCCAATTTTACATTTCAACATAAATTTGTGACAACTATACGTTAAAGTTACACAAATAAAATTGACCAAATGACAATCTGCACTTCTTTTTTTCCTTTTCTAATGAAAATATTGAGCAAGCATTAAAGAGCTGATGAAAAATACTCTACCCAATTTTTAACTGTCAGATTTTGATCAAGTTCCGTTTAATTATCATATATTTTTCTTAATCTAACATAATTCTGTTGTGATTTTTGCACTTAGAAACTGAATCTTTCGAGCTGAATTCTTCTTAAAAAAAATGAAAATGTAAAACAAATGTTACATGCCTAGTTAAAAGCAAAGAAAACAAAAACAGTAAACCTCCGTCAAAAAGAAGTATTAAAAAAAAACAGAAAAAAACAATATGATCAAGCAGACGTTCACTTGATCAACTTGACTTGGATTATTTTAGGAATTCCACTACTTCTTTGACCACATTTTTTGCATGAAATATAGTGTCAATAGTATTGATGATTTTAATAGTTATTTGAATTTTCAACTCAAAAAGTTATCAAAACTGTACTTAAAATAGTGCAAAGGCTGCATTCAGTGAAGGAGATGCTATAACTATTCAATGTGGGTCTCTGCCAATAAGTCTTTGTAAAATGTTTTCCATACGCAGCCTAAGAATTGCTGGGGTAAAAAAATCTGCAAATAAATGTCCTATAAACAAAATCAGTATTGTAAGAGAAAAAAAAACTTTTTTTTTTTTTTTGGCATGAAATATAGTGTCAATAGTATTGATGTTTAATTGTCAAATATTTTTATAAAGCTTAACAGTTATCTGAATTTTCTACACCAAAAATTAATCAACATTGTACTTAAATAATGTTGTAACTATTCAATTTGGGCCTCTACCAATCAGTGTTTGGAAAACATTTTCCATATGCAGTCTAAGAATTTTTGGCTTAAAACATTTGCAAATAAAATTGACGTTTGGTTCATAAATTCAGAATTATTATCGGTTTACATGTGTTTTTTGTGAAAAAAAATACTATAGCGAATCATGAACTATGATTCGAATCATGACATGAATTTAGCAATCAAAAACTCTGTTGTAGAATATATAATAAAAAAAATGTGCTTTACAGAATATGAATGATTCCATTTTTTTCTTTTGAAAGAAACTAACACATGCTAATTATGTCATGTCGCTAATGGAAAATAAATTAAGCCTGATGTTCTTTAGGAAAGATAATATTATTAAGAATTGTATGACTAGTATTAAAGGTGGTGCCGCGCACGCTGACGAATTGTAAGCACCAAGTTTCAAGTCAAGGGTGCGTAAAGCAAAAGCTATTAGAAGCAATACACATATAGGCCCAATTCATTTCACTGATTCAAATTTAGAATTTAAGTTTTATTACAGTAAAAAACTCTTATAAACACTTACATCTAACTTTTTTACTACAATAAAAAACTCTCACATAAAATCACATTTCAACTCGAATTAAAAACTTGAATCAACGAATTAAACGGACCCATAGATTCTTAAATGTGGTGTGTGTGTGTATATATATATATATTTGTATATATAGTTATATTGTTTAAAAAGATCAAATATGATCCAATGAGAATTTGTGTTTTTCACAATTCAGGATTTCAAAAGTGAGAAAATGCCGAAATTACTCCTAAATAATACAAGGAATGATTTTCTATTACAACATTTACGGGAGATATTTTAAGAGATTTGTATATTAAGACTATTTTTAATGTAAATGTTAATGTTAATTGTATATTTAGTATTAAAAAGTGTGATATGATATATGTTATTTCATCTTTATTCTAATGTATAATGTCATTAAAATGTTAAATCTATTTTTTCTCATAATTATTGAACTTTAAAAGTTGTAAAAATAAATTTTTATTTTTAAAATAATTAGAAAATCTAAAAGTTACAACGATTACATGAAAAGTAAATATTTCAACTAATAATAATTAAATGTAAATTTCTCATATGTTATATTTGATGAGAAATTTACAACAAAGTAAATTCTAAACTCTAAACTCATACACTCTAAAAATATAAGTCTAACAATTATTATTATTATTATTTATTTATTTTTTCAATTTGGTCGCTCTCTACGCACTAGGGCCTTAAACATTTTTGTCTTTTCTCTGATCCGTTTCTTCCTTATCATTATCATACATCTGGTTTATTGCTCTAACAATTTATGCATTCATAATTGACTATACAATTAACCTGACCAAGTAATTACAACCTTCACTTCAATCTACATTTTTTCTCCTACAATGTTATGCCATCCATTTTCACATACAGCAAAACATCACCTCATAATTATGAATCTTTCAAGATAGCACAATTCTCCCACAATTTTTCCCCTAGAATTCCAAGATTGCCCCTATACATAGAAATGCTGATTTTTTTTTTTTTAATCGTTTACAAACTATTTCAAGCACTACAACAGCATTACATTCTACCACTTACAAGCCATTTTTTCATTTTGGATTCATATATTGATAAATCACTTTTAAAATGTAAGGAAACTTTTCCAAGAGGAAAGACCCATGAAATTGGGCCATCATTGTGCATACTTCGGCCCATAGCCCATGCAAAGGGACAACCTAGGTCTGTATTGTACAATTGTCATTTGGGCTACTTCGGACACTAGCCTTTCATCCCTATTATATTGGGCTTGTCCCATGGACCTAATGCTCAATCTCCTCAGAAAAGTTGGTTTCCAGTTCCACAAGCCTGAATTACCTTCTTTTAGCTTTTTTTCATCACTTTCTTTACTAGATCCAACCCTAAACAGAAGCCTCATAATTTTCTGCCTCGCAGTGGACCCTCCACTTCCTGTAGACAACTTACTCGTCTCCGATGTGGACCGTTGGACTGATGTCGTGCTAGGCCCAGTGGGCTTCTCCTGATCCATTTTAACCCGCCTCACTCGCCTCGCAAACACGACTCCTTTGGGCTCCACCAGCCCTTTTGTGCATTTTCCCTCTTGTTTCATCACAGGCAACCCATTAGGCTGCCACCTTAGCCCATTCGACTCGAACCCAATATCTACTATTGGGCTTTGTACTGCCCATGTTGCTGAAGCCGTTGAATTGTGCTTTCTCAGCCCATTTGAGCCCAATTGCTTCTCTGAGTTATCTCCCATCTCCCTCTGGGCCTTAAGCGAGCCCATTGAGTATTCATCGGGCCTGGACCTTATCGGAGAAAGCGACCGAGCACGTCTACCATTCTTTCCCTCCATTTTCTTCCCCTCCTTAACGTTCTCTAGAGCCACCATGAAGGGATCAAAATCATCATTCCACAAGCATTGACGCGAAAACGGCAGCCTGACAACCGATCGAGGAGACCTCGGTTCTTCCCCGACACTGCTTCGACCTCGAAACTTGTCGTTTCCGCCGTAAAAACCCGGGGGAAGTTTAAGCTGAGGAGCAGCCAGAGGCACCACTTTGCCATCACAAAACAGCTCATCGGCAAAGGCCATGGGTGGAAGAAAACCGCCACTGTCTCGGTTATTCCGCGGTTTCTCTTTACCCTTCGTGTTTTCCAACTCTCGCACGTCGGTGGAATGATTGAAACGGCGGCTTGTCTCGAACTCAAAGTCAAGATGATGATCATCAAGATTGGAGTAGTTGGTGTGGTCATGATCATATGATCTTGTTGGAGTCGTTGGCTCTGTTTGGCTTCCAAACATGGCGTCTGACACTTCCGATGTGGGACTAGTTGGTGCACTATAGAAGTTCATGCTGTCTTCTAGGCTGCTTACACTAACTGGACTTGTGGCTGCGCTTAGATAGCAATAGAATTCATTTGGGGTTTCCATATTGTTTTGCAAATAGAGGACTAATGGGGTTTCCATATTGTTTTGGTGATTATTGTATATATGTAGAGCTGTGTTTTGATCTTCTTCCAAAACTATCTTCAAATGTCTTTCAACAACATTGTTTTTAATATATGAAAAGTGGCCAAACAACATTTACACGCGAATAAGAGAAATTAGTTATTGGTTCTTGTCACGTTCTTATCGGAATTTTCAGTGCTGGCCAAATCAGCAGCCCAATCACGATCAGGTCAAAAAGTTGGATTTGTGGAATAAGAGGACGTGATTTGTTAATTTATCTTTATTTTGTTGCGATCAAATAATTTTGTATGGGAATCTCATGTTTGGGAGTAATGTGTGCATCTTTTTGTTGTCTTGTCGGTAATCTAATGACCAAATGTTTGTCTTTTTGTGTATATGATAAATAAATTTAAGCCATATATGATCACAGGAATTCAAAGTCACGTAGGAGTGAAGCAAGATGTTTGCCCACTTTTTTAGTTTCTTGTTTTCAGAAATATAAATACGTATATATTTTTTATATATGTACATGTATATTACCCCTTAAATATTTAATGACGTGGTTTAATAAAAATTTAATTTTATTAATTGTAATAAATTTTTTTAGTCAACTAATTAATTTATTACAACTATAGTATCAATATAATATTAGAGTAACTATTAAAACCACACTCGTGTACATATGTATGTATAATGTGTGTGTTTTTTTTTTTTTTTCCTTCCTCTTTTCCAAGATGATGGAGAAGAGAATCAAACACCCAAACCTTGATCATGTGCAAAACTATTTCCAAATGAACAAACTAGTTGGAGTCACGGAGCCAATTATTAGGTCAAATAATATTTTAGTGAATTTATAAATCTTTGAATAGAATAATAATTAGATGAAGAAATTAATAAAATCTGTTTCTTAACTCCATAATAGTCACAGAACCATAAACTTATAGAAATAGACCCGTGATAAGCAAGGAACCTAAAACGTTGAAGTCAATTTCATCTTTATGTTCATTCGCCATTCACAGTTCTAATGTCGTCTATGTGAAAACAAAAACAAAAACACTCTAGAAGATTTCCATGGATCATTTTAATAGTCCTGCTCTCTATTTATGGTTAATAATAATAATAAGCTTTTATAAGAAATCAGAGTTCTTTTTCATTTTTTATTCAGCAATTGGAGCTTTACTTAGGCGTAAAGGAATTAATGCATGTTTGCTTTTTATTAAAACAATTATATTTTCAATCAAGTTCGTTAAGCAACAGTAAAAAGTTGCAATGTGCACACTGCTTAGTGAGAATTTCATAGTGCCTTTAAAAACAATGACTTTATTAAAAAGCGGCTTCCTTTAAATAATAATTTTTTAACAAAGAAACAATTGATGTATATATCATGATCACAGTACTGGCCCGCCTTATTTATCTTCCCCTTAACAAACTAGTCTTTTAAGTAACAATTGAAAATAGGAAGGAAAGAAATCACCCTTATCTTATTGTAATTGATATGGATTCTCCAACCCTCATCTTCGGAAGAGTAAAATTCCTCGTCCAATCCATTTCTTTTTTTTTTTCTCTCTTACTAAACAACAATAAATTTAAATTTTTTTTCATTAATCGGCACCACGCACTCTCTCTACTTTTCTCTCCTACCAAACAAACTCTTACTCGTAGCACTGAGACCACTAAAAAGAGATGGCCCGACTAGTACAAACCCCTCTGTAGCACTTTGTTTACTCTCGTAGACATCAGTTTGGAAGGATATAATAAATTAATATGACAAACCTAATTTCAATAGTTAAGCCTCATATCCCTTAAAAAGCTAGTCTTTGGATCAGGTAGAATAATTTCAGTATGCAACGTATAAAAAGCGACCTTGAAATATATTTAATCTAGTGACCAGGTAATTCTATAGCATCATAATAATGTTTTAGAAGTGCTTTATAGCATCCACAAGCCAAACGTATTTGTTGGAGGGTTATATTCCAAGCAAGTTTAATCATGTCAACACTCAACAGGATTATTAAAATGATACAGGAGGCAAAACTAAATCATTTACATTGCACCTTTACTTACCAAAAAGAATAAGATACAAAATTTCTGAATGAAAAATGTATGTGGACTTAGTAGTATTTACACAAAAGACAGTAACTCTGGCCACATTTTTCTGAGGCCTTTTAAGCATTTTGATCTTCTGACCACTCCATGCGTCTTTTGGATTACAATTTAAATCAAAATAGAAATTCACTTGACTCAAGTTTTGGTTATTGGTGTTGTGATTCTTAGTCCAATTCACCAGTAATCCCCACAAGAGCAAACACCTTGATAGAAGTGGTGAAATCTGTAGTTATCCCTCATTATGATCTCCCTTTCTTCAACCTTGGATATATATTTTGCTGCAGTATGACAGTCTCCACAAATCCTCAAGTTCTTGATTATTCTTAAAGGGGTTCGAGCCGGTGTACTAATCAAGCCGAAAGCTAAAGCGAGCTTTTCACTGTGGCCACAAAGGTTGAACTCCTTCTCACCTTCTTCAACTTTCCGCAACACAAAACCTGTTTCGGGGACATACCCCAACTTCTTTATCTGCACATACAAGCTCTCCATCTTTTCTGATATGGCCTCCATCGACGGATGTGAAGCGTCCCCAGCAATGAAGCTGTGGACCTTTCTTTTGACCTCAATCCAACTGCATCCCGGAGATTTCGTCACTCCCCGTTCCTTCATCAAACCACGAATCTTGGCTGCATCCTCCCACCTTCCTGCTGCAGAGTAAATGTTGGCTAGAAGGATATAGTTCCCGGAACTTTGTGGCTCGAGCTCGAAAAGATGCTTGGCAGCATATTCCGCAAGGTTGGGGTTGGAGTGAATCCTACAAGCACCTAGAAGTGAACCCCAAACTGCTGCATTTGGCTCAAATGGCATCTCTCTTATAAACTCCATGGATTCATCAAATTGTCCTGCTCGGGCCCTAAGATCGACAATACAAGCATATTGCTCCATAGCCGGTTCCATGGCATATTCCTCCTTCATCAATTTGAAATATTCCCATCCTTCGTTTACTAGTCCCGAGTGAGTACAAGCCGATAATAGATTTGTGAATGTGACATAGTTTGGTTTTAGTCCCACTGTTCTCATTTGTTGAAAAAGGTTCACAGCATCCATTCCAAAGCCGTGCATCCCATACATTGATATCATCACGTTCCAGGAGACAAGATCCTTATGGGGCATTGCATCAAAAACTCTTCGACTATTTTGGATCGACCCACATCGACCATACATGTCAATAAGGGCATTCCATACAAAGCTACCAGTATCTAACCCATGTCTGACTTATGGGGCATTGCATCAAAAACTCTTCGACTATTTTGGATCGACCCACTTCGACCATACATGTCAATAAGGGCATTCCATACAAAGCTACCAGTATCTAACCCATGTCTGGTTATGTATTGGTGAATCTCTTTACCTTGGCGCAAAGCTGCTAATCTTGAACAAGCTTTAAGTACAGAAATCATCGTCACAGTGTCTGGTCTTACATCGACCAGATTCATATCTCGTAACAAATTTAAGGCACTAACCCCTTGTCTGCTTTGTGCACAAGCAGCGATAATCGAATTCCACACAACAACATCTTTGGTAGAAAGTTCACCAAACACAGAGTATGCTAGTTCCAGAGATTCACATCTCGCGTACATCGAAATGAGAGCACTCCCAATACCTGTTGACAGTTCAATTTGATGCCTAAATAAGTATCCATGAATCTCCTTTCCTAATCTCAAATCTCTCATTTGGGCGCAAGCAGTGAGAGCCCCTGATAAAGTAGTTGAGTTGGGCTTTATACTTGTCCTGCACATCCTATATAAAAATTCCAGCGCAGATTTTCCATCTCCTGTTTGAGTAAAGCCCGTTATCAATCCGTTCCATGTAACAATGTCGGATTTCACGCCTCGTGCTTTCATTTCGCTAAGAATCCTAACAACTTCCTCATAACAACCCCCAAGAGCATAACCAGACAGCATTGAATTCCAAGATATTAAATCCTTTTGTATGATATTATCGAATTTTTGACGTGCAAATTGCAAGGAAGAGCATTTAGCATAGAAGTCGACCAATGCGTTACTCACGAGCAAATCTGAGTCCAATTCACTTCTCTTTATACAATAGCCATGGATCTCCTTGCCGTGTTGAGACAATGACAAGTTGGTACAACATGAAACCACACTTGCAATGGTAACAGAATTCGGTCTCACTCCTTTCCTCAGCATTTTCCTAAACAAGCTCAATGCTTGAGAGGAATAACCATTCTTTTCATATCCTGATATCACTGCAGTCCAAGATACAACATCCGGACTGTAATCTTCCGAATCACTCAACTCGGAAAGATATTTGAAAGCCACATTTAGCCGCCTGTTCTGAATAAAACCTGCAATAAGCGAATTCCAAGTTACTCGGTCAGGCATTACCCCAGAAAGCTTCATGGCATTAATATACCTCAAAGCTTTTCTGAATTCACCCTTTATTGCATAACCCGAAACCATTATGTTCCACATGAAAACGTCCTTAAATTTCATCTCTTCAAACAACCGTCTGGCAATATCAATCCTTCCGCACTTAACAAACATTTCAAGGAAAGACCTTTTAACCCAAGCATTCCCCTCAAACCCAATGCTCAACATGTAATCATAAACATGTTTTCCTACTTTGTAATCCCTCAACTCCGAACAGGCTTTGAAAACCTTCGGGAAAACAAAATGATCGGGTCGTATTCCTTCACCAATCATCCCATAATACAGTGTCATCACCTCTGTATAATCGCCCAGTCTATAGTACATCTCCATCATGGACGTCCAGCTAAAAACATTTCTTTCAGGCATTTTCGCAAACAGCTTGCGTGCATCTTCAACACAGCCAAGCTTACAATACGTCTCCAGCAACTGACCACCAAGAAATTCACACAATTCAACGCCATTAACAATCAAATGAGCATGAACTTGAAAACCCAACTCCAAATTTCCGAGTTTTCGACATTTCCGAAGAATTTCAGCATAGGTTTCACAACACTCATCTGGGTTGGTAAAATCCATGGAGTGTAGAAACTGTGCAACATTTTTCAAAATCCACTTTTCAGGATCTGAAGTACCAGTAAAAGAACCAAAATTGTTTATATGGGCCTCTGTATTTTTTGAGAAACTTTTGGATTCTGTGGCCGTTGGAGTCATTTGGCGCCATTTTCCGGTATGAAAATGAAAGGTTTTGGGATTAGTTTGGGTGGCTCTGCTTTGTTGAAATGAAAGAGCTGAGTTGTGAGCAAATGGGGTTATGGAAGTAGCCATAAAAGATTATTAGAACCGGAAATTCATCGTAGAGTTATAAAGAGAAATTTGATTTATTTAAATTGCTTAATCTCCTACCAGTTACCACAATCTTATATAGCTGTTATCTTACGTTTATGATTACTGCTGGATGAACTTTCAGATGCTTAAATAATGGCTCTACATAAGCTTGAGCAAAAAATAAATGGCTCTACGTCAAGGAGAGCTGTTTGTCCATCCGTAAAAAGTGACAAATACCCTTACGACCCATTTATTCTCATTTCATCGATTTGGATTTAAAATTTACATTTTATTAATGTAAAAAATTTTAAAAAACAGTCACATTTAATTTTTTTTATTACAATAAAAAATTTTCACATAAAATCACATTTTAGTTCAAATTAAAAACTCGAATCAGTGAACTAAACAGACTTTTAGAGTCAGAGGGCATAAGTTGAAATTTTACTCATTATTATTGATTAATATGCTTTTTAGTCAAATAATTATATTAATTAAAGGGTGTTAATTAAGAGTAAGAGATTAAAATCTAATCTCATGTACTCTTATTTATTTTCAATTTTCTAAGGATTAGTCTAACAATTTTCTCTTGTTCATTTTCATATAGTAGGTATTGCAGATTTAATTATAAAATTAATTTTTCAATGGTTTGATATATAAATAGGAGCAGAGAATCGCATTGTAACTTTTTAATATGATCACTCTTAGATCAGAACGTTAAAAAATTAATTTAACGATTAAAAAAATTACTTACTAATAGTGAAAAGTACAATATTTAGAAACTACTATTTTAATTATTAGATTAATTTTTTAATTATTTGATATAAGAATAGGAGCAATTTTCTTTAGCGCAATACAAATATTTAACACGAACACTCATAAATCACACTATGAAGAAATTAATCTAATGATTAAGAAAGCAGTACAATTCCTACCACAGAAAAATTCTCAACAATTACCATTTTTCAACTCCAAAAAGAAATTTATTGTCAAAGAGCAGAGCTAGGTTCATACAAATTATACAGCAAAAGCACAGCTACCATGTGAATAATGACGGGGTTAGAAATCCCTTAAATTTTTAAGGACATGAATTAAACAAAAAAATTTAACTAAAACTATAACACAACCATTTTTGCTTATCTTCTTTACTTTTTAAGTGAATTAGGTAAAAATTATTTTTATTAATTTGATATTTATTAATCTTTAATGGGATTGAGATGACACACTCCGCCTCCTAAACACGATATCTGACTCCTTAGATCACGCACGAATAAGGAGGATAGTTAAAGCCTAAGCATCATCGTTCCTTCTACACTAGTGTGTTTAAAAGGGAGATTCATACCATAATTTAAATTATAATTCGTAATTTATTATAATATTTTTTAAAAAAAATATACATAAAATAAAAATAATTTTAAATTATAATTTAGAGTCACTAAAAGTTAAAGTACAACTTATCGTACAACCTTTCAGTGAAAAGGCAAAAAAAAAAAAAGCTTATCGTATAATGGTCTACTCTTCTAGATTGCATCCAATTCAATTCCCACTTGATATCAATTCAGTTGAATATCTCTAGTACAATTACTGAACTGGGTTTGGCCTTTAGGCTCATGTTAGGGTTCTAGACTTTTTCTTTTTTATTATTATTATTATTATTATTTTTTGAGATTGACGGTTTCTGGCTACTGCTCATGCTATTTTTCCATACACATGCTTTTAGCAAAAGAAAAAAAAATGTCTTCATGAATATATATCTATACATATCTCCATAGTCACCTTTAATTCCATTTTTCTTAAAAAACTTGTTCTGACTTCATCACTCGTGCACTTTGTAAAAGAACAAAAAAAAAAAAGCCAAATAAAAGATAAAATCTTAATTAAATTGAATTTATTTATGGAATTTTTTTTGAGCAAAAACAACAAAAATATTTTAAATATTTAAAAAACATAAAATTAAAGATCTTCTTTTTTTGAAATTTTATGTTTTGTTTTATGGTTTTTTACGTTTTTAAATGTTTATATTATTAGAAACTATTTAAGGGTATTATAGTCTTTCCACCCTTTTTTGTTTTTATCTGTGAATTACAAATTCAAATGAATTTCTAAAGTAAAAGATAAATTGAGAAGATAAAATAAACTCGTAAATTCGTAATTAGCCCTTGCAATTAGAATAATGCCAATTCGTTTACCTTTGGATAACTTGTTCACGCACAAATACATACATTAACTATTTGGCTTTGTTTTTTTCAATCCTCAAATCAAAACTCAAGTTCTTTTATTACAATATTTTCTCTCACATAAAAAGATTTAACCTGTAATTTGAGTTGTGAAAAGAACACACCTTAAATATTTGTGATTGTATCAATATATATTTAATTCACACATTGCGAATTAATGTTTTATAGATTTTATAATTTGAGGGGTTGCTTTTGTAATTCCAAAAAATGTTAGGTTAACATTTTCATTTTATTTCAATCTTAAGGGAGCTTTTTGAAAATATCGGTAAATATTTTCCCAAAACAAAAGTTAATAAAATAAATGGAAAAGAAACTCCTTTCTTAGGTCTCACCTCTTTTGAGTGGGGACAATTTAAATTTGCGATCATCTCTATTGACACGTCTCTAATTTATTTAACTACAAAATTGTTTTACGTACGAGCCTTTAGATTAGGACCTGTGGTATAGGGACGACACTTTAAAGTGTACAAGGTACTTATTTGATATTATTGAAACGCGAAAATATCATTTCGTCATTTCAATAAAACACAAAATATCAAGATGTAATTTTCATGCGAAAAAAAGAAATTGCAAAAGTATGATAATATTTTAAGTGTCTAGAAAATTAATATGCTATGTTTGGATATTACAGCCTACTTAATAAAATTTAAGGTAAATATTACAATTTTAAAGGAACAAGTTCTAACACTGAAAATATAAAAAATAATTTTTAATTCCGTTCTGTGACCTTCCCGCTCATAAGAAATGAGTCACACTTGTAGGGTCACAACCGCGTCGGAATGTTTAATAATGCTAAAATATAAAAAGATTAATTATATGATTAAAACTTGTTATCCTATCACCTGTTTTTACTACCATTTTTATGTTACCCAAGCCATGTGATGAATCCTGTTATCCTACAATTCGAAGAGAAAGAGAGATACAATAGTACCACTACAAAAATAAAACTTGCACACATGAGAAGTACAAAGTTGTACTCCCTCCCAATTTGTGGCCATTTTCTAACATCGTACTGGTTTGTGTAGTACAATTCACAAAAGAAAGAAGAAAAGTGGTACTCACCAAATTATCTTGTATAGTCTCTCACTTATAGTTATATATATAGTTGTGAAATCCACGGTTTTCCACAAAGTCTTTCAACAAAAACTGCCTTGAAAAAGAGCTTTTGGTAGAGGAGTCTCACAGGGGTTACCTGAGAATACACGAATAAATTATTTATATTTATTTATCTCACAATGTGGTGGTTGTTTCATGTGTTCTCAGGTCGCCCCTGTATGGCTTTCCCTTTACCGTCTGATTGGTTGCCTTTTTTATGATGTCAACGGCTATGATGCAGGTAAATGGCATTTGGATATAAGAGCTATTGTTACTCCTTACAGCTGTGGATAACAATTAATTTTGAAGATTTGTGAACAAATCTGACTTATTGGTATTATGACTCAATTCTTTTTTTTTCTTTTTTTTTTTTTTAGAATTTTATACTGTTAATTGTTTTGGTATAGTACGTCATTTTGTTTTTAGGTTTAAAACCTTGTAATGCCTTTTTTTTTCGGTTAAAGTATTTAAAAAAAGTATTTATCTTGTTTCATCGAACTCTTGCGAGCGGGGTTCCCGTTAAAAAGAACACAGATTTTTCTTAGATCTTTTATTATAAATAATACAATTTCCCGTTTAAAAGAGCATAGATTTTTCTTAGATGTTTTATTATAAATAATACAATCCTAAATTTTTAGGGTTTTTTTTTTCTTTATATTTACTGTGGGGAACTTGCATGATTTGTGAATTTTTTTAATTGTTGATTTATGGTTTCTAATTGATTTTATTAGTGATAATTAGTATTATGTATGTGATGTCAGACCGATAAAAAGAAAGAGCAAGAGGAGAAATTGGTGAAATCCTAAATTTTATAGAGAGTGAAATCCTAATCCTAATTAATTTAAGGATTTTGTGGATCGACCGGTTCCGATACAATTGGTGTTGGTAGTGTCATTGGAGGTGGTGGCGTGTGGTTCCGGCGGCGGCGCGTGGACTTTGTGCCTTTTCACTTCGTCCATCAATTTTCCCACAACAACAAATATAATATCCATTATGCTGATGACGAGACAACAATAATACAAATAAAATAATATGAACTTAACTTGAAATAAGAAGCCTCTAGGTTTTGACTAATAACAAAAACTGATACTATAAGTAAGACTGACGTATCAGAGAAACTCCGTATTGTATTTTTTTTTTTTTTGAATTTTATACAATAATTGTTGTAGTATGTTAGTTTTTAGGTTTAAAAACATGAACTTTTTTTTTTTTTTTTGATAATGTATTTTACAGAAATTCGTCTTGTTCAGTCATACTATCCCAGGGTCCCATTAAAAAGTACACAGGTTTTTCTTGGATGTTTCAGTATATTTAATACAATCCTATATTTTTAGGATTATTTTTGTTTGTACAGTGGAGGAACTAGCGTGATTTATGATTTTTTTTTAGTTAATTTAAGATTGTTTTTGTATCCTAATTGATTTTATTGGTGTTTATTAGGATTATATGATGTATGTAGCCCAAATAACGGACTTTTTCCTTTCTCTTCGTCCATCAATTTCCTCCTATTGAGCAGCCAACAAATACAATATCTATTATGATGACGATGAGACAATA